AAGTGGGCAGGTTTGCATCAAGGAGAAACACACACAACTGTCACACCGAAGCCTGGCCAGTCATGAAACTGGTTTTCAAAGCCTCTCTGATGCACAGAGCGCCTTGCTGTGCTCTTCTAATTGTCCTGGTGTCTGGCTGCTCAAAATCAGACACCAGGCGATTTGCCTCAAACTCCCACCCTGCCATAAATGTCTCCCCCTTACTCTCACAGATATTATGGAGCACACAGCAAGCAGCAATAACAGTGGGAATGCTGGTTGCGCTGAGGTCTGACCAACAGCACCAGCGAGCTTTTAAACGTCCAAAGGCACATTCTACCATCATTCTGCACTTGCTCAGCCTATGGTTGAACTGCTCCTTACTACTGTCCAGGCTTCATGAGCCATGGAAACAAGGGGTAGGCTGGGGTAGGTGTGACCATGCAGTGCTGCCAGCTGGGAGAGCAGCCTGAGGCAGAAGCCTCCAGCTCACAGGAGAGCAGTGTTGCAGCAGAAGCAGTGGAGCCGAACACCATGCCCTGGAGGTTGCTAGGAGCTGGGCAGGGAAGACGTTCCCAGAATCCCCAACCAAGCTACATGTCCGACGAGGACAGCTACCAGTCCTACTTCACTGTCTGCTGCAGAGTTGCAGGAAAGCAGAGTTGCAGCGGAAGCGGAGGAGCCATACACCATGAACGAGGACAACTAGCAGTCCTACTTCACTGTCTGCTGCGAAGGCACACAAGAGCTGCTGCTGTGTAGCAATGCCAGCTGCTGCAGGTGCTTCTGTGTCGAATGCTTGGAGATCCTGGTCGGGCAAGGTACCTTGGCCAAGGCAAAAGAGCAAGAGCCCTGGAGCTGTTACATGTGTCAACCATAGAAGTGGTATGGGGTGTTACAGCACCGACCGGACTGGAATGTACAGCTGCAAGACTTCTTCACCAGCGACAAAGGACAGGAATGTGATGCACCTAAAGTCTAAAAAGGCACGCACATTTCCCAGAGTCACTACCCTTGATAACAGAACATAAATGATTGCATTGGCCACTTGGATCACAGCAGCCCCCACAGTAGACTTGCCCACAACAGCAGCGGTGACGGTGAGCTGAGCGGGCTCCATGCTTGCCATGGTATGGCATCTGCACGTGTAACCCAGGAAAAAAGGCGCAAAATGATTGTCTGCTGTTGCTTTCACGGAGGGAGGGGCAACTGATGACATATACCCAAAACCACCCAGGACAATGTTTTGGCCTCATCAGGCATTGGGAGCTTAACCCAGAATTCCAATGGGCGGCGCAGACTGCAGGAACTGTGGGATAGCTACCCACAGTGCACCGCTCCATAAGTCGATGCTAGCCACTGTAGTGAGGACGCACTCCGCCAACTTAATGAGCTTAGTGTGGACATATGCAATCGACTGTATAAAATCGAATTCTAAAAATCGACTTCTAAAAAATCGACCTAATTTCGTAGTGTAGACATACCCTAAGTCTGCAGCTACAACTTACTCTTAGCAGTATAGGAGGATCAGAGAGGTGGGAAGTGGCCCATTCATCTCAATTAGATGTTCTTAGCTAAAAGAGAATACCCAGTTAAGATGAATACAGCCTCAAAACAAGTTCTGAAAGGTGTGAACTGATTCACTCATCTCACTGGATGTTCTTATCTTCCCTCCCTTGGTTCCAGTGCTTGTGGCCAAACACCATGCACTGATTAGGCCTGTTCTCAACTCCTCATTTGGTTTCAGCACAGTATGCTTGGTGCATGCCCTGAGCATGTTCTCAACTCCCAAATATGATTTCAGTGCTGCGTACAGTGCCAGGCATCTAACTTCCCCATTCCATTCCCCACCCCAGTGTCTTCATTGTATGCCTGTGCCATGGATCTAGCGCAGAGGTGGGCAAACTATGGCTGGCGGGCCACATCCGGCCCGCGGGACCATCCTACCCGGCCCCTGAGCTCCTGGCCTGGGAAGCTTGCCCCCGGCCCCTCCCCTGCTGTTTCCCCTCCCCCAGAGCTTCAGCTCACTGCACTGCTGGCACAATGCTCTGGGCAGCGGGGCTGCGAGCTCCTAGGGCAGCACAGCTGCAGAGCCACGGCCTGACCTGGTGCTCAGTGCTGCACGGCATGGCTGCCTGTCCTGGTGCAGCCGCGCCACCAGCTACCGGTGCTCCAGGCAGCATGGTAAGGGGGCAAGGAGCGGGGGCGGGGGTTGGATAGAGGGCAAGGGAGTTTGGGGGGTGGCCAGGGGTGTGGATAGGGGTTGGTGCAGTCAGGGCAGGGAACAGGGGAGTTGAATGGGAGCATGGGTCCCAGAGGGGCAGTCAGGAAGGAGAGGAGGGGTTGGGTGGGAGGTGGTGGGGGGCAGTCAGGTAATAGGGAGCGGGGGGGGAGTGGATGGGGCAGGGGTCCCGGGGGGGGCAGTCAGGAAGGAGAGGGGGGTTGGATGGGGCGATGGGGGGCAGTTAGGGGCGGTGGGTCCGGGCACGGTCAGAGAGAAGGGTTGTTGGATGAGGCAGGGGTCCCGGGGGGCAGTCAGGAAGGAGAGGGGAGGTTGGATGGGGCAGGGAGTCCGGGGGCGGTCAGCGGACAGAGAGCAGCAGGGGTGGATGTGGCTGGGGTCACCGGGGGGGCGGGGGCCGGGCCATGCCTGGCTGTTTGGGGAGGCACAGCCTCCCCTAACCAGCCCTCCATACAATTTCAGAAACCCGATGAGGCTCTCAGGTCAAAAAGTTTGCCCCCCCCACCCCCCGATGTAGCGTGTCTGTTCTCAGCTCTCCACTCACTCTCAGCATGCCATGCACTGAACTTGCTTCATCACTTTTCCCATCATGGCCTCAGCACTGTGGGAACATATAATGAAACAGGGAGAGAAATGCTGGGGGGGCGGGTAATAGAGATCTAGAGTTTAGGGGAAGAGCTGAAGCCTTCCTAGATCCCACACTGCGCAACTCTGATCTTCCTTCCTTTCTTCCCCTCATACTCCTGTGCTGCTCTGCAACCATCCTTTCCCCCTAGGAACAGCTGCGTCAAAGAGAGGGGTGAGCCTGGGGCCCTTTCCCCACTGTTGAAGTCAGCTATGGGGAAGGGAGGGAGTTCTGGGTTCCTTCATTGATCAGGGAGCAGTGAAGGAAAGGGGAGCCCCCGAGTCCCCTTCCTCAGCCTTGTGGAGATGCAACAGGGAGGAACTATGTAGGTAGGGGGTATTTGTAGGGGAGAGAGGGAGGCGGAGGAGGGCACAGATGGTTCTACTTCCCTTCTGAAGGGGAAGATGCCCAATTTTTTCTTCTTATAGTTCTGGTGTCCATGTTTCTGAGTTCCTAGAGAGCAAAAATCCTTAATAATTGAGGAACCAAAGCAAAACTACATTTTTCTTCAGCAGAACTCTGGTCATTGAACTGGGTTTTCAAAAACAGTGTTTAGATGATCTCTTGCATTAATAAGAGTAATTGTTTAGGGTGTGTGCTGGCAGCTCAGTAGCTATGGCAGAGCACAGCCCTAAGGATGAAGGTTAGCAGAGAGGCAAAGCCACCATCCTATACCTTCCCAACCCTCACACCTCCTGCACTGCTCTAGCACCCCCGCATTCCTCCCCCTCCCCACTGCTCCAAAATCACCATCACACCCAATATTCCATATGTCAGGACCAAAAAGGTGATAAGAATCTGAAAATGTTATGAGCAGCTCATGTTAGGGGACCTGTCTATCAGAAACACCTTGAACAAATAAGCCAACAATTCGCTTTCTTTTGATCACACTCAGTTCCACTGTTCAGGAAACCCATGAAGAGTATGAGTTATGATTACATTACCCTAATTGATTACTATAGTCCTTCATCTTCCCTCTATTTAATTAATGCTGATTTCCTTGACAATACTTCTAAAGTAAAATCAGAATCTGCATGTGGATTTTAGAGTACTTTAAAATGTCTTGGTTTCAGGGTAAAACTTCCAAAATGCACCCCTGCAGAATGCAGGCAAAAGGGCAGGGAACATGCATAATACATTCTCTCAAAGCTGCCAATGGTAGTGCTAAAATTCATGGTGCATGGGTGCAGCTCATGTTCAATGAGCAGTGATAGTCACCCTGAGCTGCCTAATTACTGAGATACCACATTGCCTGCAAACCTTCTGGCTTCCAGAGAGCCCTAATCTTGCTGTACACATGCATTTCACTTTTTGTAGGCACTTCAGTTTGGCATGTGCTGACCTGGAGTTACAAACTTTACCCTTAAAACCTTTTTCAATATTGCTTCCCCAAGGGGACAGTGGGTACCATGAACTAGTTTAGATAAATCCCAAGCAACTGAGGTCAGTTTGGGAAAAATCAGAGCCAGAGGTTGAGCCTGAGGTGTGCACAAAAAGAGTTAGAAGAACCAGGTGATTTTGTAAAATGTTTTTTTAAGCTGACTCTCAGGAGACCCTGGCTCAAATGACCACAAATTTGGACCACTAACACAACCAATCACCCTCAAGAGACACAGCAAATTCAATCTGAATAATCATGCAGATTTTAGAGAACTTACAATTGTCAACCTTTCAAGAGAAGTGATGCTCAACCTTAACCAGAGCAGAGGTGGGACTTCTCTATAACACACATAATTCATGTAACAGATTGGGAAGATCTGTGATCATACTCAACATTCATGAAATATCAAAGTACAGATAATTTCATATTTATTGACATTTCTGCTGTCAGTGTGGCTGTCACAGTAATTCACAAATTGACATAGGCAAACAATGTTCTTACATGTAGTGAATCTCATTACAGTACCTTACAGCACACTTTCCAATGATCACAATGTTTAATAATAAAATAAGGTTTCAAAGATTTTTCTTTTGGCAGCTTGTTTGCAATGGATAACAAAAAGGTGAGTCCCATTCTATACAGTATAAAGGCATGCAGAGCAGATGTCATCAAAACAGAGATTTATTTTGTGTCATACCTGTGATTGTAGAGGCAGAGATTTGAACAAACAGTCATTGTCTGAAATCTATTGAGAAAAGATACTTTGCATTTACCTTTGGTATTCCAGAAGTGTCAAGCCAGGCCCCGATGATATTTTCAACCGATAGTCCGTACCTTTAAAATAAAATTAAACTTGTTTCATGGAACATACATACACAAATATGTATATTTTCCAGAGAAAAACATGTAAAAATAGAATAAAAACCTTGTAGACTAAGCAGTAGTTTATAATCCAGTTCTTGTTCTTTTTAATTAACATTACCAGAGATGACACTTGCAAATTAAGACAGATCTGATTCTATGTTTTTCAAACTAAAATGATTAATTCAGTGACTATGAAAGCTGACAGAAAAAGTACAAGAAGCTAAGCTGCATTTATGAAACACATAAGCATGAGCAGGTGCTCTGTGGTTCTGTTTGTGTGGCTTTTCTGTTTCTCTTTTCTGAGAAAGAAACAAAGGGAGCAAAATTAACTGGAGATTGTCAAAATCAGTATTTTACTGAGGCAGCAATCAAAATGAAAGGAAAAAATGCCAGAGTTAAAACTGACATGAAGTCTGAACTGCCTTAGATGTATGGACTTTAAAATGTACTGCCGGACTTAAATCCTCCTTAAAGTTGGTAAGTATATATATTTGGATGTCAGCTTTTCTACACCTGTTTCTTTCCCTCATAACATTTATGGGTAAACTCACAATGCACTCTGAAACCATAACTGCTAAGAAAGGAAACAATCTGTTACATTTGAACTCAGTGGGACTGAGTTACTCAAGTACGTAAGTATTTGTATGATGAGGACCTAAATTTGCATCCTAAGTTACATGTACGCTTGCATGCTTCCCTGGATACTTGTCCATGTATTGCTAGCACACTTACCCTGGTACCCATACTGAGCATCCACATATGCTGTGCTAGTCATAGCTGTACACCGTGTACAGGAATATACTCATACCCACACTGCCCATTTTCAATATGTGATGGTAGTGCTACTATTTCAAGGACAATATCCCACAGTCCTTTCTGTCACAGGAGACACTCTGGGAACTGCCTTGCTACATGTAGCTGGTACTGTATGCCACATTTGTCGACGGCAACTTCTGATCATCTCTCCCTTCTGCCAAACTTCACTGAAGACATGGAGCAAATCCCTGATGGTATGATTCTGCTTCAGCTTGTAGGACAAATGTTCATGCAGTCCAGTACCAGATGCTGGACAGAATGGGCCCAGAAATATTTGAGATGCCTAAGATGGCTGATCAAAGATGCCTAAGATGGCTGATAAAAATCCACTGGGGTAACATGGAACACATGTTGAATGCTGGGATTACAACAGTATGCCCATGTGGGGAGTGCTGCTTCTAGTCCTAGAGAACTAGCATGGTGTGGTGGGACCACATAATCTTGGAAACCTGGGATGAAGACCATTTGCTACAGAACATCTGAATGAGGAAGCAGACCTTCACGGAATTGTGCGAGCATCTTGCACCAACCCTCCAGCTCCAGACCACTCATTTTCAGAAAGTGCAAAAGTGGGTGGCTATTGCCCTTTGGAAGCTGGCAACAACCACAGGCTCCAACTTCTCCTGGCGCCGGTGGGTGCTCGCGCCCCTGCCCCACCCCTGGCCCTGCCCCAACTCCACCCTTGCCCCACTCCCATTCCAACCCCTTCTCCACAGTTCCCGCCCCAACTCCATCCCCTCCCTGCCTCCTCCCCTGAGCGCACCGCGTTCCCTCTCCTCCCCCTCCCTCCCACAGCTTGTTACGCCGCAAAACAGCTGTTTTGCGGTGGCAAGCACTGGGAAGAGAAGTGGGGAAGGCATGCTCAGGGGAGGACGCGGCGGTGAGCTGGGTCGGGGAGCTGCCAAGTGTGTGCAGAGCACCCACCAATTTTTCCCCATGGGTGCTCCAGCTCCAGAGCACCCACGGAGTCAGCGCCTACGGCAGTAACTGGCAACCTGGTTGTTGGTTGCAAACCAGTTCTTGGATGGGAAGTCAACTGTTGGGGTGATGATCGTACAGGTTTGACATACTATCAGTACCGTGATCTACCCACAGGGAGTTGCCATAACCAAAGTCTCTGAAATTATAGTGGGATCTCAGAGGATGGGGTTTCCGAACTGTGCCGGAACCATCAATGAAACACACATCCCAATACTTTGTTCACCAAAAGGGACCAGTGAATATGTGATCCACAAAGGTTAGTATTCACTTGTTCTTCAAGGCTTAGTAGACCACAGGGATGGATTCATGAACACCAACATTGAACACATAGAAAAAGTTCATGATGCCAGGATACTAAGGAGGTCGGGATTGTACCACAGTGGAGAAGAATGGGCTTTATTTCCCAGAAGCGATGTGGTTACATACAGTTTTGCATACCTGCCCCTCATAAAGCCATATCCTGACATCACTGTCCCAAGAAAAAGTGAATTAAACTACAGACTGAATAGCTGCAGAGAGTGGAGCGCACCTTTGTGCATTTGCAGGCTAAATACAAGGTCAACAGATAGTGTAGCATAAGTAGGTTTCAGAGTAACAGCCGTGTTAGTCTGTATTTGCAAAAAGAAAAGGAGTACTTGTGGCACCTTAGAGACTAACAAATTTATTTGAGCATAAGCTTTCGTGAGCTACAGCTCACAGATGAAGTAATACCCACCTGCTGAAGTAAAGAAACAGCTTGACAGAGCGAGAAGAGTACCCAGAAGTCACCTACTACAGGACAGGCCCAACAAAGAAAGTAACAGAATGCCACTAGCCGTCACCTTCAGCCCCAACTAAAACCTCTCCAGTGCATCATCAAGAATCTACATCCTATCCTGAAGGACGATCCCTCACTCTCACAGATCTTGGGAGACAGGCCAGTCCTCGCTTACAGACAGCCCCCCAATCTGAAGCAAATACTCACCAGCAACCACACACCACACAACAAAAACACTAACCCAGGAACCTATCCTTGCAACAAAGCCCATTGCCAACTCTGTCCACATATCTATTCAAGGGACACTATCATAGGACCTAATCACATCAGCCACACTATCAGAGGCTTGTTCACCTGCACATCTACCAATGTGATATATGCCATCATGTGCCAGCAATGCCCCTTTGCCATGTACATTGGCTAAACCGGACAGTCTCTATGCAAAAAAAAAATGGACACAAATCAGATGTCAAGAATTATAACATTCAAAAACCAGTCGGAGAACACTTCAACCGCCCTGTTCACTCAATTCCTGACCTAAAAGTCGCAATTATTCAACAAAAAAACTTCAAAAACAGACTCCAACGAGAAACTGCAGAACTGGAATTGTAAACTGGACACCATTAAATTAGGCTTGAATAAAGACTGGGAGTGGATGAGTCATTACACAAACTAAAAACTATTTCCCCATGCTAATTTTTCCCCTACTGTTACTCACATCTTCTTGTCAACTGTTTGAAATGGGCCATCCTGATTATCACTACAAAAGTTTTTTTTTCTCCTGCTGGTATTAGACCACCTTAATCGATGAGTCTCGTTAGAGTTGGTATGGCCACCCCCATTTTTTCATGTTCTCTGTATGTATATATATTTTCCTAGTGTATTTTCCACTGCATACATCTGATGAAGTGGGCTTTAGCCCACAAAAGCTTATGCTCAAATAAATTTGTTAGTCTCTAAGGTGTCACAAGTACTCCTCATTCTTTTTCCTAAACTTGAGGAAGAGCTCTATGTAGCTCGAAAGCTTGTCTCTCTCATCAACAGAGGTTGGTCCTCACACCTGGTCTAAAGCTTTCTCTACACTGGACTTTTGTCGGTCAAACTTTTGTTGTTCAGGGGTGTGAAAAAAACACACACATGAATTACATAAGTTTTACCGATCAAAACCACTGGTGTGAACCGTGCTTTGTCGGCGGGAGAACTCTCCTGCTGACAAAGCTACCGCTTCTCATTGGGGGTGGAATTATTTTTTTTCGGCAAGAGAGCTCTTTCCTGTCAAAAAGGAGTGGCTACTCTGTGCACATTTTAGCAGCACGGCTGTAGCAGCACAGCTGTGTCACTAAAAGGTGCGTAGTGTAGACAGAGCCTTAGGCCCCGCCTACACTGGCAAGTTTGTGCGCAGTAAAGCAGTTTTGAATGCTGTAACTCCTCAGGTGTACACACTGCCAAGCCACTTAGTGCGCAGAAACTGTGCAGATATAGTGTGCTAAAAAAACCACCTCTACGAGAGGCGTAGAGCTTTCTGCACTGTGGCTACAGTGCTGCGCTGCTAGTGTAGACACCGTGGTGATTACAGCACTGTGATTGGCCACTGGGAAGTGTCCCACAATGCCTGTTCTCACCTCTCTGGCCATCAGTTTGAACTCTACTGCCCTGCCCTCAGGTAACCAACCTTCAGCCCCACCCCATACATTCCTTTGCAAATTTGAAAGTCGCCTTTCTGTTTGCTCAGTGATGTATGTATGGTCTCAGCGCATCTTTCCAGGTGGCCATGCCTGCTCCACGCACCAAGCAATCCCCTGCTTGGAGCTCTGCCGAGCTGCTGGACCTCATTGGCATTTGGGAAGAGGAGGCTGTCCAGTCCCAGCTGCGCTCCAGCAGAAGGAATTATGATACCTACTGTGACGTTACTGACTTGAACTGGGACCAGATAGATCATTGTTGCAACCAAGGTCCTGTAGTGGCACCAAATCCTACATAAAGGGGGTCATATGAGGTGTCTAAGATAAGGTTATGGTTTGCTGGTTATGATTATGCTATCTATATGTGTGTATCATTTTTGTAGTTAAAGTTAAGAATATTGGCTCTATACTGTCTGTATTTCAATCTTATGATATGCTTCTTGGTGACATCCCAGACAAGTTGGTGTCAGCTCTGTCTAGCCTGCTTGATGGCCCATTAAGGACTATCAGCTATACAACTGACCCATTGAGAGAAGGCAGACACGCCTTATGACTCAGCAAGATATGCAGGGACATGCCTTTGGACAGAATTCTGAGGTTTTTCCATGCCATGTGATGGACAGCTTGTCTTTGGAACAAGTCCCCTGTGGATACTTCGTTGGCTTTGTTGCCAGTCGAGAGTGGACCGAGCCAGGAGGAGGCTATCTTGGATGAAGGGGGGAGGGGAACCAGAG